CCCCCCGCCTCCTCAGCTGCCTCCCATTGGCAGGAGTGCGCACGGCTGTTTCTGAGGCAGAGGCAGGTCCCCTCCCCACCTTGCAGTCTGGAGGTCCTCAAGGATTTGGGGTCCCCGCCCCATGAAAAGGAACAAACGCTGCAAGTTCATATTTTATTTCCAATAGGTTTGCTTTGATTTTTGCATTTTTTGTAAAAAAAGGAGAAAGTTTTCACGTAATTCATTGAAAGCCCTTTCGTGCTGAGCCCAAGGGGGCCTGGACCGGGGCAGACTCTTCACAGCCCTCTCTGGCTTGCCCAGCACCGAGTGCTGGGAGTGAGGTCACTCTCCTCTGCCACTCTGCCCGCCCCACCCTGCTGCATCTCTCTGTACAAAACAATTTTTAAAATGGAAGCTAAGACACAATATACATGGGACAGGCACGCACACACATGCACACGGGCGCCTGCCCAGAACGGCAGGGCGCCAGCTGCACTCAGAGAGCACCAAGGAATGCATATGGAGCCTCTCCTGAAGAAGAGGGCAGGGCCTGAGCCCCCTTGGTCCTCAGGCCGCACTCCTCCCCACCAATTGCCCTGCTAGCTGCCAGAGGGAGGGGGCGGGCGGCAAGGGAGCCGCGTCCGAGGAGAGGAGGCAGGGATGGGGCGGGCAGTGCCAGCCTGGGAGACGGTCATGGGACCAGAGAGGCTGTGCTGTGCAGTCTATCTAGGAGGAAAGGACTGAGGGGAAACCCAGGCCTCACGAACCTGAGGGAATAAAGCTGAGCCTTACCCCTGGAGGGGCTTCAAGGGCCCAGGCAGGGGAGTGGAGCCAGCCCAGCGGCTGGGGCCTGCCAGCTCCTGCAGCTGTCCCCAGGACTACGTACTCATTTGGTAGATGGAGGAGCTAAGCTCGCTTAGCCCCCAGCACGCCCTCAGGCCTCTCTGAGGCCCTCACAGTTAGAACTGGGGGACCTGAGGCCTCTGCGTCTTGCCGCCAGCCCTGGTGCGGGGAGGCAGGGCAGGCAGAAGGTTCCCGAAGGCGTCTTCCTTCCCCTCCCCTCCAGCTTCCCACAGCTTCCCACCCGGTCCCACACAGGCCCCAGGCAGGAAGAAGTTAAAAATAGTTAGTTCCTACATTAGAAAAAGAGACAAACAGATTCTCTGCCAAAAGGTCAGTGGGAAAAGAAGGACTTTGTCTCTGAGCGGGAAGGGTGAGGAGTAGGCAGGGGAGGACTGCAAAATAGTCTTTTCTTCTTTAAAAAGTGCTTGGTAAGTCTGTTTTAAAGTGTGTGTCTATATCTATGTACAGATATACACACAGACACTGTGCACACGCTGGCAACCACACACACCTGCTCACATACATAAATGTATACATATAATCATATACACATACATACATATCTATATATATATATCTATCCATCCATCCATATATATATATACATATAGATGTGTATATATATACTTTAAAAAGTCCTAGGTGAGAAGGTCCGGGCCCGGCTGGGCCAGGCCTGAAGGGTCACGACTGAAGGGTGTGGGCCCGGCTGGGTTGGCAGACTGGACACTCACTGGCCTCGGCACAGAGCTCGCACAGCACCGCGTGTTGGCATGGCAGCACTGCCCGGGTCTGCTCCTGACACTTAAGG